CAGAACATAATTTGGTATGGATAAGTTTAATCATTCATTATTAATCCCTTACAGAGCAACGTTAATTTAAATAAACCTTTTTGCAACGTGTAAATGGTATTCAGAAAAGCCACAAATAACTTCAGAGATGGCAGAAGAAGTTTGTTTCAATGACCTTCGCAGACGCCAAATATATTTACATCATCAAGACCAATGATCCTTGGCGAGATTTCTCGTACGTAGCATGGAATGGATATCAAGTTAATATAAAATTATATTTATTAAACTGGCCTCCTTCAGTTATTTTCCTGTGCCAATTAGAGAAACAGTGTTAAAGAATAAGTTTCTTGTGGATTAACAAAGTCTTTCAGTAGCCACACCGTTTTAAATGGCACTGCGACGCTGATGTTTGAAAATATACAATGTGTTTTACTCATTTTTCCTATAATAAATGGGAAAATGTGTACTCCAACTTGGAGGATCAATATTTTTATTACATCGTTACATAAACCAGACTTCATTAGCTTTGATAATAATTATTTATTGCAGATAGAATGTATTGCTGTAGACACAATAAAGTTACAAAGCTGATAGTCTCTTGATCCATCGATTACTTAATTTATCAAGAAAACCCTGTTAAACAGGATTTGTGGTTCTCACGGTAGTGAGAACAAAAATGGTTGTCCAGAAATCTTCATACTCTGATGACGGAGGCAGTATGATCTCTGAAACGTTGGTTAACATCGACCAGACTACACAGCGCAACAACCCAGAAGACAGAAATCTTCATACTCTGATGACGGAGGCAGTATGACCTCTGAAACGTTGGTTAACATCGACCAGACTACACAGCGCAACAACCCAGAAGACGGAAATCTTCATACTCACCGCTGTGAGAACCTCAAGTCTGACCTCTGAAATGTTGGCAAAATTCTACCAGACTACACGTCACTACAAGTCAGAAGACAACCATATAAGATTCTGTTACTTAATTTAGTTAGTTGATTCTTTAGTTACATTTGTTGCCTGCTTTAACATTACGTGCGTTCAATGAAACTCAGAAAATAACATTTTCTAATCTCTCTGCTTTCAGGGTCAGATATTTAACTTTATTCCTATGATGAAAGGTCAAATGACGCCTCATTTATGGTTCTACAGTCTAATAATTCGAAGAGAGTAGACAGATTTAAGACGTGTGACACGATTGCTTGAAATGGTCTGAGAGATGCTGTTGATTCACGGTCCAGCAGAGAGATTTATATGCCAGGCGGTCTTTGGGGTCCGTAGGAGAAATGCACACCTTGTCATTCCTCCGGACACTGCATCACTGTTAGATGGCGTTCAGCAATTATTCTAACATTTCAATAAACATGTAGACCTATCAATATCTGTGTCAGTTTACGAATTTATACTATAATTTTAAATCGGTCTACGAGAGTTCAGAATATGTACGTTGTGTGTGTTTGTCTTTGGGTGGGGGGCTATTAATGGTGTTTTTTAAGCTATAATGCCGTTGATAATAGGAACTACGCGAACCGTCTCCCTCTTCTACAGTACTGGAATTGCAGTATCGAATGTCTTTCGAGGCACGGTGTGTTCCATGTTTCTCTGTGTTGTGTTGTCCTGTTTATGAGCGGGTCTGGCGATTCTTTACAATGATATCACACCAATGACTCTGTAGAGTTACTTAAGACATCCTATCTAACTAACTAACTAACTACCCGAAGGTTCATCACCGAATTCATCAATGCCCTTCACCTGGGCCAACAAAATCCAGTCTCCTTCAACTCCTATCTCTCATAGATCCCAGCTGAGATTATCCTCCCATCTACGTCTAGGTCTCCCCAGCGGTCTCTTCCCCTCAGGCTTCCCAACCAATACCCGGTGCAGACCTCTTGTCCCATCCATGCGCGCCACATGACCCACCCATCTCATTTTTCTTGACTTAATCACCCTGACAATATTGGGGGAGGAGTACAAATTTTTAAGTTCGTCATTATGCAGTTTTCTCCAGGCCCCATCGTCTTCTCTCCTAGGCCCAAATATCCTCCTCAATACCCTGTTCTCAACCACCTGCAATCTGTGTTCCTCCCTCTGAGTGAGAGACCATGTTTCGCACCCATACAAAACAACAGGCAAGATTATTGTTTTGTACACTTTAATTTTCAGGTTCCTAGAAATCAGACGGGAAGACAAAATATTTTGAGCAAGCAAGCATTTCCAATTCTATTCTTTTAACTGCTGAAATGATCCTATTATGTATGAAAAATATTGTCCCTAAGTGGTGATTAACGTTCCCTTTTCCATAGACAAATATATAATTTTCTACTGTTTGATATCCTTCCCATTCCCACCCAACCTCTTGTACTCGCACTTAATCTAGATTATACTTCTCCAACACCCCCGATACTGACTTTATTGAACCTTCCCTATAAAGACCCCTAATATTCCAAGTGCCAAGTCTCACGTCCTTTTCACAATGCTTAGGTTGTGCCAAAGAATCAGTCCAGGTTCAGGTCCGAGGCACTTTTGGACATTTTGAAACAAACAACAGCTGGAGAACCACCCCCTGTCGGCTTTCCGCGACTATTTATTCATTGTATTCCCAGCTACTATCAATATCTTGAGCCCTTATCTTCCATCCGCAACCTGAGAACGCGTCATGCAGTGGTTATAAGGGACCCACCTAACACGAGTGCTCAGCTTATTATGAACATTAATTTTTTCATACACAAAATATAGTGGAATCGACGTTAGTATTTTAAGATTACCTCTTAAATAAGACAATACGTTAAGGAAATAAAACTAACTCCATACTACAGACGCTTGCTTGAAGAATTATTGTTTATTTACTTGGTCCTGAAATTCATTGTTTTTAGAGAATCAGAACTCCATCCTCTTGCTGCTTTTACGTCATGCCAACTTTTTAACAACCTACCAACGAGTGGCAAAACTGATGTTTCTGCAAGTGTCCTAATAAGATTCTTTTTTATTTTGTTTTGTAGAGAAATGCGTCTTTATAATGTTTCCTGCTCTGTTATTCTAGTCGATATTCTTTCGAGAGTCAGTTACGTCTGAATGTCGTGTGTAGTGGTGTTGTGGTGGCCATTTGCTGTGAAATACTGAATAAAGAACACGGAAGTTCCGTCCAAGACAAGTGTTCAAGTGAAATAATCATGTAGATATTTAGTAACAAAGGACGGAAGCAAATTGAGTTTTGATCTAGTGAGGTAGCAGGCAGGACAATACTTTGTCCAAATACTGTGAATTGGAAGACTGGTGTACGTGACTGAAGGCAGTGCTTGTGACGTCACTCCCTTGCACCTGTAAGTATAATTGTTTGCAGTTTGTCCAGCAAAATATCTGTAGTTTGAAGAGGGTTTGTGTGTTTGCTAAAAACTGCAAACCCCCCCCCCCCCGTCAAAAAATTATTAGAACATTCTGGTTAAACATGTGCCATTTTATCAATGCAAACAGAAAACACTATGGTAATCACGCATGATATATAACCTCCGCGCCACCAAGTTCAATGACGTTTTCTCGGGCAGTCTTCCTGGGCTCCGCAGACAAAACAGATCCCTGATGATGACGACTGAGACGGTTCTCGAAACGTCGGTTTTTCGCTACCACCTGACGTGTCTGATTGGCCAAGAGACTCCATTGAACTGTGGTAATCATGTTATACTGAATGCCCGTCAAAAAGGAATAGTACTTTTTAATAATCTTTGTGTAATCCCAGTATAGCTTCTCCACATATACAAAAACTTGGGTTGTATTAAATGTAAGCAGTCAACTGGCGGTGACAGACTGAGGCGTGGGTTAGGTATTTTATATTATAGTGGACGATTAGATCATTTCAGGACATTACATCAATTACTGAGGTTACGTAACGTCGAGTCAGATGAAGTAGAATGATTATAAATTATAAGTAGGAACGGATGGAGTAATGAACCTATTATGGGGTAAATTCTCGATCGCATCGTTTGGTGTTTCCGCTTTGGAATTAGAATGGCGGCGTAGGAAAACACAAACGGTCATCGTAGAATCGTGTGGCACCGGAATTAAGCACGTTACAACACATCTCTCCTGCTGCAGTCATCATTGCTTGTCAGATTCGGTACAGCTCCTTATATGCCTTGCTATTAAACATTTTAGACACTGCTGCAAGTACTGTTTTGTGGGAATTATCATATTTTTGGTACAACATATGGTTCAATAGTGAAGAAGAAATATTCTGGGTTTTGGTGTCCAACTGAATTCTGTTGTCGTGTTAATGTGTAAAACCTTGAAAGTGCTTGTGGCTGTTATCCAAAAAGACCTGGGAGAACGAGTGTAAACAATCAGGAGACGTAGGTTCTGGCGTATAAAACCGGAATTCTTGAGACCCGAAGAGGGTTTTAGCAGCAGTGCACGAGTTAGCTCTGATTTCGAAACGCAACCACTTATTAAATTTTATCAATACCTATTTATTTCCTTTTCTATGCAGGTTTAGAATCGCCTAGCAGTTGGTGAAACAGCAGTCATGCATATGTGTTTGGGAGGTACCAGGTTCGAATCTCTGATCATATACTGACTATCCTGGCCAAGATTCTGATTTTTTCCAATGCAAAGCCCGGAGGAAAGCACCTACAAAGTACCCAGTGACCGCCTACTCCAAATCCTTAACCTACTCTCAACTCACAATTTACCCACAGATTTTCATTTTACGCTATAGGCCTATAGCCTAAACTTTGTGGTTGAAACAGCGTCGTTACACGACCCAGCAGTCAATAATTTCAGGGCACAGCAAATCATTCTGTGTACTTTTCTCTCTTTTTGACAGAGGAGTTCCATTTCATGCATTATGTCGAATATTTTATCTGAAAATACCCCCAGATTCGAATTTCAGTCCTCTTGAGCGCCTAGGCAGACGTGTAGAAATAATAGGCCCAAGCTTTCTTCCTCGCTGTGAAGGCGTCAAAGGATTGGATATCTTTAAAATAACAAAGTTTTTCTGTCATTCATTCTGAAGTCAATGCAAATTCACTGTGAAAAATATTTTATTTTTCTTGAAAAATTATTATACAAAAGAAAGCCGAAGATATTGCTATCGTACTTGGAGGAAGTAAGTACTATGCGTACTGACAAAACCAACATTATTTTATGAAAAGTGACGGCGTCATCGGCAAGTACATATATGCGTCTAATTAACAGCTTAATAATTACAGTTATCCTGCCTTATAAATGTACTATTTAACAAGTTGCATTGTATATACGTGTGGTAGTGGTAATGCCTGATTTCTGATCCGCATTTCTTGTCATTGTTAGATTACTGTGTTCTTCTGAGTAAGACATTTATCTTTGGTGACAAAGTCCTAGTCCGATTCCAGCTTTTGACATTTTTCTGTATTGTGGAGTTAATGTACGCCAGTGGTTCTTAATTATTTTTTTCAGCAGACTGTCTGAAATTCTTTGTATCTGCTTCGCACTCCATACAGATATTTGTTTAAGATTTCGTATATAAAGACAATCAACGATTTGTTTCGACCCCGTTTGACCTTTTGCAATAAGTTGCCAGCAATAGCGTGTATTTACTGTAGTACGTAATGGTTGCAGTTGAAAGTAGTGTTCCGTGGGTTTTTTAGATGAAACAGGGACGAATGTTGAACGCCACCAGGACATTTCTGTAGAAAATTTTAGTTTTGTTGTTGTACCATATGACGGCTTGTGAGGAAACACGATTTATTTCCAGCCATCACAACACCCCGTTTATCAGATTTTGAAGTCAGGCGTAAAAATCATAAGACAGAAGATGCCTTAAGCGAGATTCGAACTCGAAGTCCCATTGTTCTAGAGATTTAAGACTGTAAGGCTAAGACTTCATGGGATTAAAAATAAAAATATTATATCGTTCTATTAAATTTAAAAATGATTCCACTAATAATAATAAAATAAATTTTGAAATGGTTATTAAGTGTGTTCAGTCCTTTTATTGATTTTAAATCGACCGCTGTTGTCGAAGTTTGTTTTTTTAGTGTTGAAATAATAGTATTCTGTTCTTTACCGCAGTAACTTAATTATAAATATGTGAAGTCAGAAATTAAGCATATCCAACACCACTTGAGCTCTATTAACAAATATAACATATCTAAAAATACACAGACTGACATTTTATGTCATTAAACGTATTTAGTTTTGTACCCAGGATGTAAAAACCTAGGCATTATCTTTGAGCAATTTTAATTTATCTTCGCTTTGAGAAGATATTTTAACTGTTGTCATATGAAAGTGGGAATTTAGTATGTCGCAAAGATTCATCCTTGTAGGACTTTAGCAAAACTGTTATGCCCAATGTACCGTTCTATATCTGCTGCCTCATTCCGTGTTTGAATTCGTGCTTTGCGTCACACTGGTGTTACTAAGTAGCCTGTTCTCAAAGCCTATCTCCAATGTAGCAGGTCTGGAGTCTTTAAATTTCTTAAGTCAATATTTGCATAGTTTCTGCCTTTGTTTTTCTAAAGTGACTGCTGTGAATGTAAGTGTATGCTTTACATTTACGTTCTGCCTTCTTATTTTCGTAATGCAGTTTGTACAAATAACACCTCCACACTTGCATGTTGATGTTAGTAAGAACGCGACGTCCAGTGATCTGGCAAGTGGGAGAAGGGTTGCTCGTTTCCCTTCTATTAATGTCTTATTTGTACACTGCTTTAGCAAAGTGATTCTTATAAATAGAATCTTATATATGGTTTATACACGTGAACAGACGTGTCTATAAATTTCCATCGTCTGAAACAAAGGCAATGTGCTTCATGTAGGGCGTTCAATACCTCATGACAATGAACTGAAATAAATACTATGCGAAGGAAGTGCGTATAAAGTAAAAGATTCATCTCATAAGAGCAGAATTTCTTGATCATTTTCTTCTTACCCATATCTTGAAGGTCAAAGTATCATACGCAGCCAACACCCTCAGATAAACAATGAATTTTTTTTCATTATCCTCCAAGATGAGAGCCCACAAACCTGATTTAGGATATTTTTAACGTACCGTACTCAAAATATTTTAACCCTGGTTAGAACCCATGTATAAATGGTATATATATTTAGGCTCAAGTACTTTTCGATTTGTGAGGTTGACATTGTCTTTACCCAGGGACCTAACTGAGTAGGTTTTGTCCTCACACTGGTTTGTAGTGGAATGTATCTAAAACGTGTGTAGGACCGCAAGCAAAGGTTTTGTTTGCAATGTCGAATTTGAATCAAAATTCAGTCTGTGAAATTTGAAGTTCTCACGGCGGCGTGTACAAAGATAGCTGTCTTCTAAGTTTTTGCGCCGTGTAGTCTGGTAAACGTGTACCGACTGTCCTGATGATGCATGCAGCAAGAACCTCTGAAACATCGGTAAACCTCTACCAGATTACATGGCGAAACATGCCATTCAGTTTCATTAATGCGATTTAATAAAATCATAACAAAAACTTTATTGAAACCTGCTCGTTTGAGGTAATGTTCAACACATGTGAACGGTCGGTCAGAAAGGCGGATAGACACCAAGAGACGGATACTTCACGAACTGCTGCAGAGAGTTTCTAAAATATGCACAGTCACAATGAAATTTTCAGCGACAACGAGCGTTTCTGCACGAAAAATTAATCCAAAACTTGCATTAGGGTAACCTACAATAACGTAATAAATATCGGTAAACAGAAACTGTGTGAATGTGCTGTGTAGATAACCACATTCTTTGTATATCGGCAATTAATAATACAAAATTATGATCACAGCAGAACCCATCTGAAAAATTTCCGCAGTCACAATTTGAGAGTCAGTCACTTCAAGGTCGGAGAATTCATGTTAAACTTTGTTAACCCCTCTAAAATTGCCTGGTTTTCCAGTGGTTAGACAGCTGTTTGAAGCTTATGCTCGTAGCAAACGTAACAATGCCTGACTGACTTAGCTTCCTAACGATTCGTTATATCTGATCAGTTCTGCTGTGTTCCAATATGTGGAGTACCACTGAACCATGGATTTAAGACAGAAAAGTTGCTATTTCTAGTTTCTTAAAGTGTTAGCCAGGCTAACATGGCTAAAGCGATTGACGTAAACGCTCCGCCTCTGAATCACTTAAAAGACATACATTAGGCACCAGGCACATTTGCAGTACGACTCTGTGGCGACGTGTAACTGAGAACTGTCTTGAAGGATTGAAAATAAATGTGTTCAAACAATTTTTGCATCTTCGAACACACTCCCATTGTGTGTTAAGATATTGGCACTCGCGTTCCTTTGCTTTGTTGGTGTTATGGAATACCTGTCAGAAACGGAACGATTTAGATGACGTCTGAAAGTTTTTGACGATGCGGCGTTGAAATATGTAAAAATAATATTTGGATATTGTCCATCGTCTAAATTACAATGTGTTTTTACTTTTATTTGTAATTTAAGTGATGGACAAAGTCCAAAAAAGCCACTTTTACAGATTGAACCAGTTTAGTTTATAGATTACATGTATCGAAGTGATGACACGTCATTGTTGCGTCATTTTGACGACTGGTTCTGTGTGATCCACGTTGTCTCCGATTTCTTCATGTTTGCTGGTTGCATGTAATCTCAGTGAAGGCCGTCCTTGTCCCTGCAATAAGCCAGGGCTGATGCTCTCCACAATCAGGCTGAGACAGTCCAGACTCGAAGTCCCGTCCCCTCCACTCGGGTTGCCGGATTGTGGTTGATTCTGTCCTTCATAACCTGCAAAATAATGAAAATTAATATTTATTGTCGCGAACGAATATACATTGTCTTGTTTTTCGGAAGTATAAATAGTGATTTTAGGAAATGAACAGGAAATAGCGAAGGAAATGGGAGAAAGCCGATAAAATATGGCCTGAAATTTTTCCTCTCAACTCATACACGAATAAATCGGGGGTTGAACCGAGCTACGACGTTGGCAGAAGGGGATGGGAAATTGCAATATATGGACACCAATACCACACTGATATGTGTGTGCGCGCTCCTGTGTATTTATAGTTACTTAAACCTTCTTAAAAGAGGTGCGATCTTTCGACCCGTAGCCCAGCTTCCTTTTCAGTTTTTCCGTCTTATTAAAGTCAAAGAGATAAATTAATATGCAACTTAAACGTTTGTACTTTAACACTGTCAAACCTCAGATATCCATAAATTTGTTCAGGCAAATATATTCAAAAGTCACTAGACATGCACACTAAATGTTATGGCGCCTGAACCTCGTTTCTGGTATAAAATACTGAGCGTGTTTTTTACTTCTTATGAAACTTTTATTTTTTTTTGCAATAATTTCTTTTGAAATAACAATCAGAACGCAACCAAATAAAACGGCTACCAGTCATCTAAACACTATGACCTTGGAACAAGGTGAAATATGGAGGACATAGAATGCCCAGGTGGAAGCCCACAGCCAAAATGGGCGGCGCTTTAAAATAACTTCTTGAAATATATATAAAACACTAAGATTTGAGTCGTATCCAAGATAACTTACCATGCGTATAGTACGTCCATTTTAAAACATATTATGTTCCTTGACTTTTCACGTCAAAACAATATCAGATTTCTTTAAACTCGTTACGTGCTGCAGTGATGCAGTGCATGTCAAGGTAAGTATGAAATAAATAGGCCTACGTATCAACTACAACATCTACTCACTCCAAACCACGTGGGCGGAAGTTAAATTAAGTTCTAATTGAATCCAAACCTGTGTTGGCAACATATACAAGACGTGTCTATTTGTGGATTTTGTTTGTGATGAGTATACATGACTGTGTGGTAGCTTAACGAATTCCGAACATGAAACCTTCGAACGTAGAGCAAAACTCAAGCTGTAACCTACTGATAAATGCAGATTCCGAGACAGATGGGTGGATATGAAGCTGTGTCGCCTTGCATTTACGTGGGAAGGGGACACAGATAGCGGCATTAACGAGCGGTATTTCTGGATATTAGCTGAGGGAATACGATAAATGTCGCAAAACGAAAAAAATTTCTTCTCTTAAACGTCCTGAATTCCATTTATTCTTAAGAACAGCGAAATAGAGCCAAGATATTTGTGACTGTACAGTACTTTAATTTTGTTTTGTAGACATGAGATAAATGCGGATGATATTCTTAAGACAAGGCTTTGTGCAAGTGTATTTTTCTTAAATAATTTGTAATATACAGCTTTGCAGTGATTGGCTACAGGATGGACGGTCGAGGTTTGATTCCGGGCTGGGGCTAGAGGCTTTACACTGGCCCCGGAATCCACCAAGTTTCCTATCCAGTGGGCACCGAGACATTCTTTTAGGGGTAAATTGGTCGGAGTCTGAACCTGAATACTTATCGTTATTTAGTGCTGAGACATACAGGCTTATGTTCACCCTCTCGGTACAGCTTCGTGGTGCGATGCTTAGCTACAGGGGTAATTTACACATAGGGCGTATGAGTTTGAACTTTACCTGAAGGTGGCAACGACAGGTTCCTCCAACATGGTAACCACATGGCAGACTACATTGCGTCATAATCCATAAATTTACGATCCACTAACCTAATATTGTTCGGAGACAGGATACTTGAATGTAGATTATCAACGTCTTCATTGTTGTACATCAAAACATAAACACGTATCTTGGCTAAGGGTTAATGTCTTAGTATGTTAACCTACTTATTTCTCATTTTCTAAGGGTATGTTTTCCTTCTCGTTTCACGGTGAGTGCTAATGAATTACGAACTATGTTAAATTTTGTATTGAGGTTATTGGTCGACATTTTCTCTGCAGCATATTTTATATAGTGTCAGATAGTAGAAAGATAGTGAATTACGAATTGGAAACGATGTACATTATTCAGTAATATAATGTAATAATGAATTAAATGTCTGTACTTCTTCAGAATTTTCACGTTTACAAAAAAAGTGGTATGGAGATCTCGTCATTAATAACTCAGTGTCATACTACGTAAAAATTATGACAAGTCTAGAGCGATACAGATTTATGATTCATGATTTGATACACGGTTCTCGTGAGCCGCTTAGTCAGTGGATGTCGTAGGTTTCTTCTGTCCGTGTTGCCGGACAGGGATATTAATGTCTCGCAGTCAGAACTTGGCGGGAAATGAGCGAGTCGGCGAAAAGTTTGGCTTAACTGTCTACTGATGTCTACACGGGAAACTGGCCGTGTCACACCGGCGAAGTGCTCCAAGCACGTCGACCATCCACCCGCCCATCAGATAGACCAGTAAGATGGAAAGGTGTACTCTTCGGAGTACACTGACATTCCAGAGGTGTTCTACACGCCACATCACTTAAGCCATTTTTACACTAATGCAATCTGAGGTCATTGTTGCATGTTATTCTTGCTCTAATGTGACCCGAGGCCGTTGTTGTGCATCACCGTGTTCCAGCAGTGACTCACTGTTATACAGGTTGCCTACTCCTGTGGGAAAAAAAGCGATAGACAAACAGCCATCTGGCATGAACGGGCCAATAAGGCGTTCTTCGCTCACGCTGAAGCGTTAGGAATATCCCAACGAATGAGATCTATTCTCATACCAGAGGAACGATCTCTTTACTTTGTTTGGATTTAGAAATGCTGAAAAAATTATGCTCAGGGCTTGCGCTGAGATTTTGTGTCTGATGAAATACTGAGGATTTATTTTGATGTATTATGCTGTGGCATTAAGCTTCCATATTTGCTGGGCGATTATGCTGTGATTTTATTTTTCTGTGGGATTATACTAAGGATTGTGCCGACGATTGAGCGTAAACTGAGCATTATGTTGAGGAAACATGCTGAGAATTAAGAGGTATAAGGGTAGTGATGAAGTAGAATAGATGCAGGCTGGATAATAACACTCCACAAAACCTCATTATCCTCTCCATTCTACAAACGAAACAACGGCATTAAGAAACATCTGTCAGTCAGTTCCAATCTGTCATCGGTCGCCATGGGAAGTCTGGTTACAGGGATAGAAACGAACCTCCTAATTTGATAACACAATTGTGTTAGTAGAGAATAAACTATAAACGGTTGGCGGATCGCAAAAGGTTCGCTATTGTTATTTAGATTTCCAGAGATAATTGTCTGTTAGATTATAGAAACATTCCACTCTTGCTTGGCCCCTTACGTGAAATAAGAAAATGATTCTTTGTTTTAAACAACGTTTTAAGCAAAGCAGCCCTCTGATTCCATTACATATCCATTGTATCCGACCCAACTAACACAGGATTCTAAAATGCATATCTCTTCCAGACGTTCTTGACTTAACAGCTCACCGTCTTCGTCTAAACGTCGCGGCCCATATCCGAACTGCGTTGACAGTGTAGTCCCGGTCCAAAACACACAAACAGACGGACAGACAGACAGCAGTAGCACGGGCCCGTGTCTATTACAAGATATCGATGCGGCAGATAAATTATAACGTCGTGAAAGATACCTTTGTCTTGGGAATTCTTTTTGACTTGACTTCCTTTGATTTGCAGTATACCAAGGAATGTTGGTTTTGGCAGAGAGCTGGTGTGTTTTGGATGTCTTGTATAAGTTGATGAAGTCCAGGGTCCGCCTACACAAACAACTCAGATACTGCAACAAGTAATATCGGATAACTCTCAGAAAGATCAATTCCATTCCTTTGAAACTAAAGTTGCTGGGACTTCAAAATTTTTATAATGGAAAAAAATAATGGTGTCTGTGTGATATATATGGCCTAATTTGTAAAGCATTGCGTACATATTTTGTGGTTTGAAATTTCATTTAATTTTTAGGAATTTTATATATATGTAAAACTAGATACTTGTTGAGAGATTGTGTCCATCAGTACTTTCATATGTTTCAATTCTGAAACAAGGTGTTGAATTCTTAAGACAACTTGTATGAAAGGCCTGTACTAAAATTTGTGGGTCGAAATGCGCACTGTATCAGCACATAAAACACAAAATGGCTGGTTTTGGCAACAGTGGCGTTCTGTTAACAGGTAATTGGTGTATCCGAAGGTAAGAGAAGACTAGTCGAGCTGTAATCACATCGGTACAAAAATAATTGCTGCAATTAATAAGTCATGTTTGTGTTGATCATTAAACTCGTGGCTGGACGTGTCACAAGACGCTTTTACGTGAAACTAATAGCTGTTCCTTGCAAGCGCAAGACAGAAAGGTGGCGCTGGTATAACAGATAGTCACAGAAAATGTGAGCGGGCCGATAAGCGTCGCGGAAAGAAGCGGTGACGTTGATCAAACGGCGTCCCACACACCATGGGATATATTTTAGAGACAGAAACACACGGAAGATATTTATATAAAAAAGACAGTTAAATGTCGAGCTGCATTAAGCCCTGGTAAACGTTACATTCGCGTCTAATGTTGCAGTTGTTATTTTAAGAACTCTGAAACCTCTCTTCTTTTGTTTTCGCTCTCTCTCTCTCTTAATCTCTTGTTCGAAATCTGTTTTTCATTTGAGGTTGCTTGTATCTGTGAAACCATGTCAACCTACTGTGTTGAGAGCCAAAGTGCCCATCTGACATTATGTTTATGTCATGGATCCAGTTACCGGCTATCATGGCTAATGATTTTCGTGGTATAATTCAGTTTCTTCAAACAAATTCCGATATACTCTGCGATCGCTCCCCTCAAAACCATTCTCGATTCATAATTCTCGCCGATCTACGGTGAATCATTCATCACTACATAAACCCAGCAGTTGATACAGTGTCAAACTTAATGAATATACAACAGACATTAATAAATGT